AATCTGCGGCTGTTATTTATTATTTCATCAGCAAACATTTTCACTCAAACAAATTATTTTTCAGAGTAGGCGCATAAATTGGGTTAAATAACTTTCCAAGTCCTAGTCATTGTAACAGATGTTAAAAATGAAAACAATTAAAACTATTAATTAAATTCCGGTCTGGCTAACAGGAAGAGCCGATGAAAGAGGCAGGATACATGGTGAAAACACACACAAAAGATAATAATAAAATAAATTTCGACAAAAAAAGAAAAGAAAAAATACGTAAAATAGGCAAAATCGTACATCAAAAGATTCTGTTGAAAATTCAATCAATCATTCGAGCTTGAAGACATCAAAGTAGGTACTACCTACTTAATGGCTCTTATCAATCAGTTTATCAAACAGTCAATCGGAAAGAAAATGAATATAGAACACACGGCAGAGAGATCCCTTGTTATAATAATTTTAATATTATTAATTATTATTATTATTCTTTAATGGTTTAAATGATTATCAATAATTATAAATATGGCCATCCAATGGCTTTGCAGAAAATTTATATAATAATTATTTATTAAAATCCTGATTTTGAAAAAGTTTTTCAATCCAAGCAATATTATATTTTGGTTAGTTTGGTGGGTTATGTATTTGTTCATTAAGTTGAACGTAGATTTCAGCGGATGAAAAGTTTTATGACAAAAAAAAATTCGCCAATGCCTTCAACGTTTATTTTGTAGAGGAATGTTTGGAGATTTGCAACAAATTATAATATTCCTAAATTTGTTTTTCTCTCGACAGATGTCCTCGTAAATGGACATTGTTAAGTGAAAACTAAAAACATCAAAAGACATACGAGTGCACGTGTACTGAAGGAAGTAGTACTGATGTACTAAACTGGGACTGATGTACTAATCTGGGACTGATGTACTAAACTGGGACTGATGTACTAAACCGGGACTGATGTACTAAACTGGGACTGATGTACTGAATCATAAACATCAACTAGCATCTGTTTAAGATCATTTTTTATCAACCTATTTATTGTGCCTTTACTTGCAACCTTTTTACAACTGCAACAGTTTCTTTATAGTTTAGTTTAATTTATAAAGTTATGTGCTTTCTTCAGATTATATTTTACAATTCTTTTTTTCACCTAGTTATTTCAAAATACCTATGTTTTAATACAAAAAATGGTTATGTGCATTTTGTTAGTTTGAGAGAAAGTTAACGTCTAACGCATTTAAATACTCGAATGGCAGGTGAACTCATTTCTTTATAGCAGCGTTACAAAACTCATTACCTCAGACAGACACAAACAAAAAAATTCATGATTAAAATCAATAAATAACTTCACTTCTGCTATTACTCTATCTTTTGAAATAAACAAAGATAGTTGATTGAGTAAGGCATTTATTTTCAAATAAGCATTTTTAAAAAAGATGGCTTCACAGAGCGATGAAGCGCTACTTCAATTAAGGACATTTAAACAGCAGTTGATTGCTTTGTAAAACTTTATTTTTCAGAATCCTCATTGACCGATCTATCATCCCAGTTTAAATATCCATGGACTCATTAAACAGACGCACCATGGTTACAGCAGGCACTGAGAATCAACAGAACCAGAAATAGTTCAGCCTTGGATTGGTCGCGCTGATTTCAATGATCACTGTGCTAATAATCATCCACATATTCACGATTAAACTATATCATATATTATTATTTTGTAAGTTTATAACTGCGAAATCAAATACACAAATACAAACATCGGTCGTAATGTTGCTTTTGAATGGACGCTTGATCATTGAACAATTTGAAATAATTTCAAACTCTTCATTTATATAAAAAGATTACCGAACTGAACTGCATAGCATCAAAATTATTTTGTAAAATTATTTGTATTTATGTCAATGTAAACATAATTAGTCTTATATAAAATTGTTGCAAACACACACACAAACACACACACACACAAACATAGACACAAAAAACACACATACATACACACAGATAGGGCTTTCCTTGTGAGAAATGTGTTTTTAGAGAAATATTTTCAATGACCGCATTTTTATCCAAAAACAATCATTTGAGATTAATGGCATTGTGCTGTTTACAAGTTTTTTATATTGTCTTACAATATATAACTTTAATTCCGGAGTGACATGAGAACTGAATTAACTTGATATATCTTAATATTATAATAGTATTAACCCACTTTTAAAATTACTCAGCATGATTTTCAAACACTTTTATTGTTATTTAACCATCAACATGGAACGATGTTTGTTTATACTTGAATATCTTTCGGTGTGACGACATTTTAAAAATTATTTTAAAAATAGGTACAGTAGAGTTATTTATATTTAGGTTGGTATTGGTACAATGGTATACAGGTCTTATATAAAATTGGTTACACACACACACACACACATCCCACCACACATACACACACAAACAAACAAACACACATACATACATACGCATAGGTGCCTTCTGGCTCTGCTGTTGTAGTAAATGGGATCGAATTCAAGCAATTTTGTTTGTGGTTTATTGATTCAAGCGTACTCACATGTGGTATGTGTGTGTGTGTGTGCGTGTGTGTGTGCGATGAATATTTGATTTCCATCCAAATAATTGGCCCATTCCGACTGGCTTAAAATTAACGTTAAAAAAGTTAAACTCTGCATATAACGTTAAAACATGTGTTTGCTTGATTCATAATGTTTATGGATGGCAACAAAATGGTAAATCATATTAACACTAAATCTAGTTGACTAGTATGTTTGTGTAAGTAAGATGGTCAGATGGTCAGATGGTGGTTGGTTACCTCATGTTATAATTGTTCCATGTGATGCAATCAACTAACAAATGGATAATTAACTTCCTTTCACGTTCTTGATGTTTCTATTTTTAACAGTCATTACTATTATTATTATCATCATTGTTATTATTATGAACCCTAATTGAACAATTAAACCAGCCCCTCTAAAATGTACTCACTTGCAGTGACGAGCATTTTAGATTAAATAGGATTTTATAATTATTTCATTAATAATATTTGGTATTTGGAGTTAGAAAATAAAAGGATGTTCCCATTAATTTTATTGTTATTATTATTATTTTATTATTATTTTTACGGGCGGGAAGTAGAGAACAGTCAATATAAATTTCAGGCTTGCTAAAGAATAACTATTATCGACTGGTTGTAAGAAAAAAAATATCGTTTGTTTCGCACTCCAACGTTAATTGCTATAGTTGATTAGCGCTGAGAACAATTTAATTATCACAAATACACACATAAATCATACACACACGCGCGCGCGCGCGCACACACACGCATAAAGATATAGTTAAATAGATGGTATCAACTCGTCGCCATAAATTAGCCAATCCAATTTAATAATTTTTTAACGACATCTTCACTAGTTCGTCACTTTAATGTTTTTCAATAAGTTTCCATAAATTTTATACCTTTACAATTGAGAATACTCAAAATGACATTTTTGTGTTAACAACAATCTTTTCAAGTTTTATAAAATGCTGCCTAAATTCTGCTCTAGCCATCTGGATGCTAAAATCAATATTTACAGTTAAATAAACCATTAACATTAACAAGTTAACGCTAAATTTATAACTTCATTTTAATTTTTAAATTGGTTTAACTACTCCATTCTAGATTTTCAACTCATGATAACGCAGTACATACATTGCGTAGTTTTATCATAGGCATAAGTGGCCAGCTTATCAGACATTTCGTTCTAAAGATAGATTATGTGGATTGTGATGTTGTTATTATTACCAGAAAACTTAAAAAACACTCGACTCGGTTGATAAAAAGTATTTATTAGTAAGTTACAATTTTTTGACACAACATTTAATTGAATGCGTTATAGAAAAAAAGTGCTTCATTTGAAATTTTTGAGTTTGAAGATGGAATATGTACAAGGTGAAAACCAAATTAACGGAACAGTTGATAAGCAGATGACGATGAATAATAACATGAGAGAATGTTTGGTTGTAAAAATTGTAATGTTAACAGTTTTTCAACAGATTTTCTCTTTTTACAATTACAAATTATATGACAACAAATATTGAAAAAACCAGGAATAGAATGTATTATATATATAAATAATGTTAATATATAGTACATCGATGTATCTATAATTTGATTTACTTTCCACACATATACACTTAAGATATATATAGATACATGGATACAATTAAGATACATATAGGAATACCCACCCACACATACAATTACAAATAGAATACAGACTTCGATACACAAACGCAACATTAAGATATACGGTTACACTTATAGTTTAATATGGTCAATAGTTATAAGAATGAAGTGAGTATTGTGCTTAAATATAATAATCTCTAGAACAATTTCATTTTAAAATAAAAATTGAATGCACATACATGCACACACACACACACACACACACACACCACATACACACACACACACTGGCAACCCATATGTACAAATATATACGCATAATATAAAAGTGACAATCTTGAAGTCATTAAGTGAAATTGTAAATGGTAGAATTGCTTTGCTACTAGCTACAATAATTTTTAGTCACATGGAAAAAATTAAAAATGCCTGTTGTTGGTTAAGAAAGAAGAACTCTTAGGAGTAAACAAAGGAAAATATCAGTGAGAACCAAACTAATGCACACCACAAAATGTTACATTGTCAAGCTTACAAACAAAAGGTATTTGAAGTTTTTAACACAATATAATTATTTTGAAGTAACTAACACAATATAATTGTTCAAAAGAGTGCACACACACACACAAACAAAAGCACACACACACACAAACAAACATAAGTGTACACTATACACATACACGCATACACTAATGCACATTCACTTAAGCTAAAGTTAAACTTTCAAATTCAAATCTACCCAATTAAACGACTGATCGTTTTAAATGAATAGTTGGGAGGATTACTAGATAATCTATTTTTTTAAATTTTTTCATTTAGAATTTCAAAACATCACAAAGTCTTCATTTAAATCCATCAAGTTCCAAATAAAAAAATTAATTCTTCATGTAATTATTTATATACAACAAAAAATTGAAACCTGAAAAATCACAAATTTTACTTTTTAAATCTATCGTCTGTACATAGCTAGGTGACTACATCATTTTTTCTCCAAACACCAACTTGCGCTTTCATAACAAGACCGAAGGACTAGATGGTTAGTAACCAAGAAACATCGAAATTATCAACAATAAAAAATTTGCAAAATATTTCAAATCACATCTTCACGAAATTTCTAACAAGCTCTTCAAACATATTTGAAAAATTTAATTTGGGAGATGTGTAAAAGAAAAGCCATGAAGAATGTGACAACAAATCTAATGTAATAAATCTTTAAAAAAGAATCTTATTATGTTGTTGGAATCATATAAGAAGTTCAATACCTGTTCGAGATTGTTCATGAAACATATTTTACACCAAACACATCTACACACGTTTACCTACATTCACTCATATTCAGTAGCAGTAGCAGGACACTCATTCAGACTTCAAACTCTTCTCGTATCTGCTGATTTCTTCGGCCAGGAAAGCATCAACTTGACTGTCCACCACCGACAGTGCAATCCCAAACTGTGCCGCATAGTACGTCGTCATGATGATCTGATGCGAGTAGTAGAGTGGTGTGTAAAATGCATGTATCCCGATCGTGAAATCTGAAATCATGAAGAGAACGGCTCCAACGCAGCTGCAGAGCTTGGTCCAGGTCCAGAGGTCATCAAAAAACCTGACCCTTGAAACAGCTCTCCACACCATCATACTCAGCAGGACCACATATACTCCCAAGAATATCGCTATCGACCTTTTGACACCACTAAAGAAAAAGAAGTACATTGCACCATTGATCAGTCCTATGAAGAGAGCTGCCAGAATGTTGAATGGCTTGAACCCAAAAGCAGACGTGTAGCAAATCTGTCCTAACCCAAAGAAGAACATGGAGTGCATGAAGTATCCACAAGTTTTCCACACCATGAAGGCATCCCCAATGCAGCAGAACACCAAACCAAACATCACCTTCCTTGAATATGAATAATATTCAGAGAAACTCATTCCATGCAGAAGGACAAAGACGATGAGGGAAATGATTGGAAGACATTTGATGATGCAGTACAAGATGGATTCGTATTTGGCAGCCGGTCCAAACAAGATGAAGTAAACTGCCAAAGTCTTCATGAAGGGAACCATCTTTGGAGCAACACTCTTGAACTGAATGAAATGTAACAAAATGAAATAAAATGCAATTTTAAAGTTATTAAAAAAAATCAAAATATGAAAAATACTGTGGTCTACTAGTTCATGTTCATGCAAATAAACATTGCTAGCAAAAGAAAGGGTAGAAATTATTTTTTAATTAATAATAAATTAAAACTAAAATTAAAGACCAAGATGAATGCAAACAGACATACTCAGACACTAATTTATTTTTTAAGGTTAAAATTTAAACTTAAAAAAAAACAAAGGACACAATGCTACACAAAGGTAAGACATTTTAAAATTTGAATTATTTTAAGATTTAATTATTTTAAATTTAATTTATATTATAAGGTTAAATAAACTAGAAAAAAGATTTGTAAAAAAATGAAAAAATGAGATGCAAAAATTTGCACAAACCACAGTCAGAGGTTTGTCCCTCTCCACACGAACACCAACAGCAGACATTTTCTTCCCTAGCAATTGAATGCAAACTCGAGAGAAACAAAAAATCAAACAATTATATATAGCAATAATAATATAATAATTATTATCTTATTAAATATTATTTAAAAACACAATGGACACAATTATTTCGTACCAGCTGATCGTAAAAACATAAACAATAAACAAATGTTATTAATTAGTGTGCGTCATGTTTATAAATAGTCCAGCCTATATATGGCTATATAACATATAGGTGTATATATATGCATATAATATATGTGTATAATAAATTATATTATATATTATATAATTATAATTAATAATAAAATATAAAATTATATATATTGTTATTTATATAATCTAATTTATGTATAATATACCCTACATTTATAAATATATACTCATATAAATGTTTATATATATATATATATATATATATTATGACAATATAGTAACTATTATCTAGTGTACATGTGTATGTTATATTACACATATATACATGTGTGACAACTCATGCGCGAGCATAAGCAATAGACAAACATTTACATATGTTTATTGTATTTATTTGTATGTCTGAGTATCTGCTGTCTTAAAGATGTAAATTATTAAGACAGCAGATACTTTTAAAGGTTATAAAATAGTGTCACCTTCGTTTTCTGCTCTGCGTGTGACGATTATGTGGTGCGGTGTGTGTTTGGATTGTTTGTGTGGGATGTGCTGAGTCAGACGGTTGGATTGGAGAGGGCAGTTTTTGTGACCTCGGTATATAATTGTGTGTGTGTGTGTGTGTGTGTGTGTGTGTGTGTGTGTGTGTGTGTGTGTGTGTGTGTGTGTGTGTGTGTGCGTTGCGTAAGTGCCTGCATGTTTGTAGCATTGTAACTTATAAAGGAAAAAAAATTTTGTGTGCTTGTAGGTTTGTCGAGAATAATTTGGGAAAATTGTAAAAGGTTTCGGTTGTAGAAACTACCTATGGAAAAAGAATGAACCACGTTAGTGCATTTACATATAACCAGTAACTGCTAAAAAAACGATGGTTATTCATCAGATTTTTCATCAACTCACTGATGAGCGGGTTCGCCAACATTCTCAATGATAACCTTAAACTTACAACCATGGGTTTGTGGAAACTTCCATGCGATAAATGAATGAATATGTTCAATAAAGTTTTTTTTACTTTCAAACGGCCTAGTTTTCAAGTTACCAATTCACATTAGTTTAGATCTTAACAAGTTCTGGCAAAAATCTCAAAATTAACGATTTTTTTTATGAAATTTACGAACATAGTTTTCATGCACACACAACAAACGCACAAATACATTTATAATTACATTAACGAAATCGCTAGTGTTTGTTGTTTAGATTAGAGCCAATGCGTTCCAAACAAATGTACTCAAATGAGAATTCATTCACTTCACACGTGATTCATTCAATTTTTCAAATTCATTCATATGAGAAGACACGCTCTTGCTTATCTATCATGTCTGGTTACAAGTTAAGATCACTTTGTGCAGTTTGTTTATTAGGACAACATGTGTAGTTTGTAGTTTAGGGATTCATTACACTCACACACACAAACAGAAACACACACACAGAGAAAACAGAAACACACACACATATAAAGACACACACACACATATATATGCTGGCACATTTTCATTTAATTTTCATCAAAACTTTGGACTGTCTCAAGTCCAAGCCTGCATTAGAATTTGGGGATTTGGATGATGTCTAAAACTTTTCCACACAATCTTATTAGACATTTAAATTCATTTAAAAACAAAAAAGAATAATAATTTAATAATTGCAAAATCTATGATATAAATCTACCATGCTTCTATCGCGTTATATGCGGTAGCCAAATGTAAAAATTTTCTAAGTCCTATATATTATAAATAAATAAATAAGTTATTTTTCTTATTTTTATATCATTGCTGTTAATAATAATAATTTTATTATTATTATAATATTATTTATATAATTACCATTATTATAATTTAATTATTATTATGTAGTTTTATTTGCTGAACGTTGCGAATAGTATAGGGTTAAGAAATATCGATTGTGGAAATTTTCTTAAATAACAATAATAACAAAAACAATAATAAAAATAAAAATAACAAAATAATAATAATTATAATTATTATTATTATTTAAATTTCGCTATGAATTTTAGGATTATTCAAATTTAAGTGCAAGCAAATAGAACAAAGTTTTTGTGTTAGCTCAATTTGTGTGTTGCTTGTTTTTGATTTATTCTACTTCTTTGCTTTTTGGCTCATTTTAACGGCACGGAGTCATTGCCAAAAATTTTCTCACTTAAAATTATAATTTAATATAATTATATTTTTAAATTTATAATTTATTTGTAACAACAAAAATACAAATTTTGACCAGCCTATCGAAGTTCATTTAAGAATAATTTCTTAGAGCAGGGGTGGGCAAACAACATGCGGCACGCGAGGCCTGGTTCGCCAAAACAACAGGTAGTCAGACAAACATTATGGCCAAAATATGAGCCACAAATATTAAAAAAATTCTCAATAAAATTTGCTATTTAAGCCCATCAAAGGTGAAATAGTTTTCAATAATGCGGTCCTCACAGCAAAAAGTTTGCCCACCCCTGTCTTTTAGAGGTATCTTAAAAATGACGTAATGACGATGTTTTAGCAAATATGTGCTTTTCCTTCTATTGTCTACGGTAGTAATACTTGTAATAATATATTTTGGGCAATTTTCAACACTAGCACACTTGAAGAGTTAGATCTAAGAAATTTTGAAATTTCAAGAGGTGTCATATTGAATAACTATATATTAGTTAATCTTTAAGAAACACTTCATTTCATACGAATGTCTTCTGCGTAACTTTAAAATATGTAGGTTAAGAATGCAATGTAGTAGAGATCCCAGTCTGAATTACTCAACTACATTTTTTAAAGTGACTTTCGACAACATGGGGTTACAATGCAGAAATTGAACCACATCGTCGTATTCAATCTGAGATGAATGTTTTGACAGAATCCTAGCGACGTCACAAATTTATTATATTTTATTTTAATTAAGTGACTTACAAATATTTCATGTTTCATAATATAATTCTCAACAGAATAACTAAGTAATAGGCTTTTCAATAAAATCAATAAAACAGGCTTGCGTGCCTAACTACAGCTCAATACACCTCCATTCCATTAAAAGTCATTCCCTCTGCAGGATGAATGAATGTTTGTTCGTCATTGATCTTACGTCACCCTCCCACTTCCTCCTTTTCTCATTAGCTTTCATGCATTGTTGTCCCACTGGGAAGTGAGCAGCGCACTAAAGTTGAACTAGAGTGATATTTTCTCTAATGCTTTATTCATTATATGTTTATGTAGGATGCAGATATATTTATGTATATAAACTTTAGATGTCTCTCATAAGTTTCGTAGTTTATGCTTTATCTTTGATTCTAGCATGTCTTTTTCTTCTCAGATATAGTGTTGCTAGTTCTTACTTTCATCTACGTAGAATTAATAGCTTTTGCCTTTTCTTGATGATCCTACTCTTCTCCTTCTTGTTATTTCTTTAGTTTTATCTAGGATTGCTCTACTATGGTCTTTCTGATTCTACACTCTATCTTTTAAGTAAAGCTTTTAACTCTGCTGCTCGTCTTGTTGCTCGTGGCTCGTTCTTTTCTTATAACATCATATCTTTTTCTCTTGCTCTGGCTACCTGGAAAATATAGAATAATTTTTAAAATTTGCACATTTGTGTATAAGTCTCAAACTAAATTATGTTCTAAGTACTTATCAGATATATTAATTGAACCTAAACGCCCCGGTTTACGATCGTCTTTTTGTTCTCACATCTTTTTAAAACATATTAAACACCTTTTGCTTTTTCTGGCTCTTTTCTCTGGAACTTTCTACCTCCCTCTCTGACTTCTTCTCCCTCAATTACGAAGTCCACAGCGGATCTCAAGACACATCTAATTGCAAATTCATTGAGGAGCGATGTTGAACAACGCGGTAATAGCGCTTTACAAACTAATTGATTGATTGATTGATTGATTGATTGATTGATTGATTGATTGATTGATTGATTGATAATTAATCGATGGATTGATGGATTGATGGATTGATGGATTGATGGATTGATGGATTGATTGATTGATTGATTGATTGATTGATTGATTGATTGATTGATTGATTGATTGATTGATTGATTGATTGATTGATTGATTGATTGATTGATTGATTGATTGATTGATTGATACGTCATGAAATACAATACAATATATTATACATATATGACCATCCCTGTTTAAAAAGTAGAGTCCACTTTTAAATCTCTGTCCACACATTTGTATGTATTTTGTCATGTTCCACTCTACTAATCTGATCTGGATGCCCTAACTGAATGAAGTTTACTGACGAATTCAAGATGAATATTAATTAGTCACTCGCTTCAGCTTACTGTGATGGATTTCACTTCAAGTATTTGTAATTCGTGAGTTTTGTCTTTTTAAACTTTAGTAAATAACTTCCGCGCCAATTTCAAACCAAATAAAAATAAATAAAATAATAAATAATTAAAATAATAATATAAAAAACTAATAAAGTAGTTAATTTAATAATTAATTAATTAAAAAATATTCAATACATTGTATATTACATTAATAAAAAATTAAAAGTTTAGTTTGAAAATAAGATTTTAAAAATTTACTTGTTAGCAGTTTTTAATTAATATTTTAAAATATAGTACACTATTATATTGTTTTATTTTTATTATTGTATTATTTATTTTTAATTAATTTTTTTGTTTCAATTTCAACTGATATTTGTTATGTTATTTTTTATTTTGATTACGATGATGATAATGATGTTAATTGATAACCTATGATAACCTATGATAACAGTTATCATTAAGATCTTTAAGGATGGAAAATGTAGTGTAATAAATACTAACATAACATACGATTACAATTACATTGTAATTTTTAAAGTATTTTTATACTATATAATATAATATGTACCAAAAGTAAAACATTTATTTATTTTCATTTAAATTAAACTATTATTAACTTTAACTTAACTATTTTCAATGTAAACTACATAATGAATACATAATAGTCAAGATGCAGATGAAGCTGCAAAATGGAAAGATTTGTTGATAGCTTCAATTAATAGGGTCCTGTCACATCTCCATAAAGGTTTCTAT